ACTACTTTTCTCACACTCTGGTCTCTTGAATTGATATGTTTTTTTTTTCAACGTACAGATACCTACCATATTCAAGCTCATTATTTGCAGAAAAATCGTTGATTGTATGTGAATTCGTAATTAACCACTTTATTCGAGCAGTTAAAATGACGTTTACTACCCACTCGAACTTCGAAATAAAACAAAATTTTAATATTTTTGTTCTAGAACCACGCGAACAGTAGCCAAAATGTGTGCGTTCCATAAAAAAGACTAGGTAAAGAGTTGGTCCTGTTTTGTGAAATCTCTGGTAGAAAGTCACGCCAAAACTGCTTGACAAAGTGATCTATTCCATGATATTTTAGAGATCCACCCAACAAACAATTTGAACTGTATAAAGAGAGAGAGAGAGAAGGATTAGTAATTTCCATTTAATTCCACTACCTTATTTGCTTATCCTTGACAGATACGCGTATTTTGTCTACAATTTGCAGACTTCGTCAGTGTCTTGTACTAATACTCGACTGGACCAGGATTCAATTTGAACTGATTAAAGGCCGAATAAGCATTTTTTTTAGCTAAAGAAGCATATTTTTGTCTGAATAAGCTCTTATGCTGCTTCGAATGTTTTTTGGGTAGGTCATCAACATCAAAAATGTAGTGTTTACAGGTAAAAAATAACCCCAATGACTAAGCCTTATTTTTTCTGCAAAGTAGACGTATTGTAGAGCAATTCTGCTGAAGAAATTATATGATTGTTTTTAAAACGGTGATTTTTGACAGCTTGTCGTGTAAGGCAGGGGTCATAAAGGGTGATACGGTCAAAATTTGGTCAATATCAACTTGACGTATTTCATTCAATTTTGAATTTAAAAAACCTGAACACCCCTCATTTTAAAGGTGTGTGTGTGTAGAATGTTGCTCCTATTTTGATTTTGGAATTCACTCTTGAGTTGTCAAAATGCCGTCCAAGCAAGAAGAGCAGCGTATCAAAATTTTGCTCGCGCATCGCGAAAATCCGAGCTACTCGCACGCAAAGTTGGCAAAATCGCTAAAAGTTGCCAAATCAACCGTTACAAATGTAATTAAAGTGTTTGGGGAACGTTTGTCGACAGCCAGGAAGTCTGGATCGGGGGGAAATCGAAAACCGGAAGCCGCTGAGACGACAAAGAGAGTTGTCGGTAGTTTCAAGCGAAACCCTAACCTCTCTCTCCGAGATGCCGCAAATAAGCTGGGTGTATCGTCTACAACCGTGCATCGAGCCAAAAAACGAGCCGGACTATCGACTTACAAGAAGGTAGTGACTCCAAATCGCGATGATAAACAAAATACGACGGCCAAAGCGCGATCCCGGAGGCTGTACACGACGATGCTGACGAAGTTTGACTGCGTGGTAATGGACGACGAAACCTACGTCAAAGCCGACTACAAGCAGCTTCCGGGACAGGAGTTTTATACGGCAAAAGGAAGGGGAAAGGTAGTAGATGTTTTCAAGCACATGAAACTGTCAAAGTTCGCAAAGAAATATCTGGTTTGGCAAGCCATCTGTACCTGTGGCTTGAAAAGCAGCATTTTCATAGCTTCCGGGACTGTCAAGCAAGAAATTTACGTGAAAGAGTGTTTGAATAAACGTCTGCTGCCTTTCCTGAAGAAACACGGTTGTTCCGTACTGTTTTGGCCGGATTTGGCATCTTGCCATTACGGTAAAAAGGCCATGGAGTGGTACGCCGCCAACAACGTGCAGGTGGTTCCCAAGGACAAGAACCCTTGCAACACGCCAGAGCTCCGCCCAATTGAGAAATACTGGGCTATTGTCAAGCGGAACCTAAAGAAGACCAAAAAAACTGCTAAGGGCGAGCAGCAGTTCAAGGCAAACTGGCTTTCTGCGACGAAGAAGGTGGACAAGGTGGCTGTACAAAATCTGAGGGCAGGGGTCAAGCGTAAGGCCCGGCAATTCGGATTTGGAAAAGCGGAAGCCTAACTGAATATTTTTCCTGAATTTTATACTAATTGAACTTGAAAAAGAAATTTAATTTGATTTTTTAAATAAACGATTTCACCGATTTACACGCGTTTTCCCTTGACCAAATTTTGACCGTATCACCCTTTATATGACCCCGTAGGATTGAATCGGTTAAATGACAGATGTATCAATCCACTGAATTTGGATTGTTTTTCATAACCGGGAATTAAAAAATTGCATTTGATGGACACCTTGGATACGCCACATGACGGAATTTGGTTCAAGCTAGATACCCTCTCTAGTTCAAGCCAGGTCCAGGAGAAAACAACCCACCAATTTTGCCCGGATTGTTTGTTTCCAACTGTCACGCCTTTTTTCTGTTATGTTATTGAAATGATGTGTAGCCGCAAAATCCGCCGCACGCAGAAAACTAAATGCTTTCAGTAAAAGGAATTTCTCAACTTTGTCTGCGAAGGCACGGTGAGATTACTATTGTGTAACCTTTATCAACATTATCCATAGAAGTGCGTACAAAACAATTGCCTTACATCGTTATCATCTAACTACAAACACACATACAACCAACCAATTATTGTTACCATGAGTTGTCAGTGATTTGTCCATAGTGATATCGTACAGATGTTGTTTATCCTTTTGCATCTGTTACCAACCAAAAAAGAGATCCATGGCTTTATTCACAAGCCCAGAACTTCGTTTCGGTGCCGTTGGACTCGGTACCACATCAGTCGGGTGCTGGGCATTTTTGTATGCTATGTGAGTCAATGACCTCACGCGACTCAAGGAATACCTAAAGAAGTAGAGCAATGGAAATCCATCATTGAAGACAAATGAACAATAAATTTTTGAAACTTACTCTTTTCGTTCATCGCAGTTTTCCTTCCCCACAATCGACGGGTCATTGCAATACTGTACTCCAATCATCAGGTTATGCCCGAGTACCTTACCATTGTAGTTTAGAGCTTTATCGCATTCGAGTCGAGAGGTGAATCTGAGATGTACCCAGTTCCCGTTCTGTGTGGCAAATACCTTCTCGATTATCGCCCCACACTGAGAAAAGTGTGACAAAATCATGGACGACGCGGATTGTGGAAAACCGAACACGGTAATCCAGCGATCATTCCCCTGTGGAACGGAATGCGATAGGTTCATGTACGATTGTGACATTAAGGATGCATTGCGAGTAAAATCCTGTTCCCGTGCCATCGGAATCGGGGACATCACCCTCGACACGTTGAAACCGCTTTGGTTCAGGTAGGAATCATTTCCCGACTGCTGGAATCCCGGAGCCGGTGGGGCACCTTGTCCTGTGGTTGTGTTTTTGCTTGGTGTCTGGAAGATCTGCTGGTCATTTCTGAGTGAATCGAATAATCCCACTGTCGGTGGCCCTGTGACACTTGAATTGTGATTAGCACTAGACTGGTTAAGACTGGTTCCGCCTAGAGAGAATTTTTGTGGCAATCCGGTGGGTCTTCCGCCGTAGTCAAAAGTCTGTCCGACTAGCGGTCCTCCTACGGGAGATTGGGTGAAGGCCAATGATGTTCTGCCTTTGGTTGGCGACAGGGTATTGGTTCGAGGAGTTGTCGGTGCGTCACCCATAAGGAACGACGGTAAATAATTGCTCGATGAAGGCAGTGGACTTCCGCTCGGACTGCCTAAAGCCATTGGTTCCATTGTTGTTTGCTGAAACGACCGTGTAGGTTATCTTCAGAGAAGCCATTGAGTTTTGCATTAACCTTCTTACCTGTGTTTTTGGAATCCTTCGCTTGGTTTAATGCAGGATAAAGTTCCTATGTCATTAGCCGGTGAAATTTCTAAAAACCTTATTTTTGCCGCCAGATATATCTAAATGGAAATTCAATCTTTCCGAACGGATGAGCTGCTAAAACAACCGCACACAAAAATCTGTTTGACAGTTTAAAAAAAACTTGCGCGATTTTCGCTGAGTTTTCTTTTCTCAATGAGCAAGGTTCCATTGAACTAGAAGGTGTACGTACTATTTCAAAATCAATTATAGTAGCGTACCCTATCTCTCGTTTCCGGCGATCAGGTGCAGAAACTTCTGTTTATAAGAATGCTGACTGGCAACACTGATGTTCAGCTGATCATTCTGTTCTGTCAAAAAGTATTATTTTTGTTTCCTTCTCTTGTGTGTGGTTGGCTCAGTGCTGTTATCATTAAATTCTTGTACTTGTTATCAGTTGAAGTAGCTAGCCGTTGAAAAACATAATTTTTAGTTTGTTCAACATTCTGTGTCGAAAAAAATGACGGATGATGTGAAAAGGTTTTTTCACAATATGCTGCAACGGTGAGTTTTCCACATAGCCTCTTGTGATTCTTGTCCGGGAGATGGTTTTTTGTCTGCCGTATGAGGCTTCGAAAAACAATGACCTCTAATATCCCAAATGATAATCGCTCATAAGCTAGAGTGCCTGAAGCCTAGATAGTCTGGGGTAACTGAATATTCCAGTGCAATATAGAATATGGTTTGTAGGCTGAACCATTATTTCTTCTTGACTTCGACATGACACTCTTATAGTGTATTCACTCTTTATTTATCAAACAATTAAAACCAAAATAGTCGTTCCATATCCAGACATACGTATTAAAATGCTCTTACAACTCGTCGACGGTTTTCAGGGTCAACGGCTTACACTGCGTCATGGTGACCGATCGGGATGGGGTGCCTCTTATCAAGCTGGAAAAGGAAAAATCCACGGAAATTGTGATGAAACCGCCATTTTTGTCTACATTTACCCTCGCGGCCGAACAGTCTAACAAACTTGGGCTCGGGAGGAACCGTAACATCATCTCCGTGTACGCCGACTATCAAGTGGTGCAGATGAATAAACTTCCCCTCGTGGTGACATTCATCGGAGCACAAAACTGCAACATTGGTCACATATTAGCAATGGACCAACAAATCGACACGATGCTGGAGGAACTCAAAACGGCCGTCACCGATTCGTGAATGAAGGAATTTTCTCTCAATGAATCACTCTATGTAAGTAAAAAATTATAAGCTCTTCATTAAACCCTACTTTCTTAAGTGTAGATCTTAAAATTGATATAAAAATCGTCACCTTAATCATAAAAAAAAGAATTGGAAGAAATCCTTTGACGTGAAATTTCTACTTAAATGCTCTGCAGTCGCTTGCGTTCCTCTTCGGCAATAATTTTATCCAGCGCCTTTTCCAATTGCTGCGTTGTTCGGGCCAGTTCCGTATTATCGCTGTAGGAGTCGTCCACTATTTCACGAACTTTCAGCAAAAGATCCTTAAAGTTGCCCATCTGAGTGTCGATTTTGAGATTATCTATGCAGCGGGTTAGCTCATCAACAGTAGCAGCAGTGTCTGTGTTAAGATGCACTTTCAAAGCCACGTCAGCTTCCATCTGCTCTAGTATGGTTTCGGACGGTTTATTCAGATGGAACCACGAACTGATGTCACGAACGGAGAGTTCCGGTTGGAGTTGGTCGTTCACATAGGATTTGTTCAATTCTGCTCCATGAACTGAAAATGTAAAACAAAAATAATACACCGTGTCAGGTTCCTTCCAAATTGGGACTGCGCTACGTTAACCCGAACGCCATCACCCGAATGTTTGAAGCAATCAGCAGCAATCAGAGAAGGCAGAATATTATTCGGAGTAGTGGCGTTATGGGGGAAGTGACAAATTGAACATTTCATGGGACGGGTACTCACTAGTTTTATCCAACGCACTGGCCATGGCCAGCGAAACACGTTTGGCGCTTCCACTGTTGGTCGAACGGTACGGAGTGCTGGAACTTTGAGGAAAACCACGGCTAACCTTAGAGCACACTTCCTTCAATGCTTTCAATTGCTCGGTTACCAATTTACCATGAGCTTCGAAATACTCGATTTGCCCTTTGTCAACGGTGCCATTGGTTTTCAAATTTGCCAACTTTAGACGATACTTTTCGAAATCATCTTCGAAAATATCCATTATCGAAGTTAGTTTATCAACTAACGCTTGACTGTGCGTGCTCGTAAACAGTTGGCAATCAATGTTGCTAAAAATACTGATGTTTTTGCTGGAAGATTTCCTGAGCGAAGCACAACTGGAAGAGTTCAGTGAACGTGAAAGCGTTCCACGGAGAGTGCTACTAGCAGCTGGTGGTTGTTCGACTTCTTGCAGTTCGACAGCATTGGTATCAATCAACTTCGCCTCCATATTGTCAAACGTGGATGGTTGCTGCCGATGAGACTGAGTACTTGGCGAACGACTAAACATATTGCAAAGCTTGAGCATTAAAGTTGATATTTTGTTGGTAGACATTTCCTGTAACAATAGAATTATACAATACATACTTCTGAACTATCTGTTCAACTATAGTTGATACTTACATTTGCACTGATCTCGTACATTTTATGACCAACATTGTGGCTTTTACTGGAGTATGCTTGGCTGAAGCAATCGATGCATAAAGACAGGTTACGACATTTCTGGCACTTAAAGCGAAGTCCTTGGATTGCTTCCCGACAAGCACCACATTGTACGTTGTGTACTATAAATTCCGAATCCTTCAGTCGCTTTGCAAGGGCTAATACGTTTGAATAATAGGAAAACTTCGATGACAACTTCCACAGGCAGGTAAACTGGTACTCCGTTAGACCTACCAAGCCAGGATAGTTCACGAAACATTCATTCACGATCTCCTGCACCAGCTTCGATTTCAAATGATCCGGTTCTCCCAGAAACGATAACAATTTAGCCAGATTCATCAACATCGCTTCGAAACGATGTCTTGATACACAGAGATTGTGATCACTCGTCAGTTGAAAGTGTTCCCATACGACCTGTTCAAAATTTTGCGTCTCACACAGCAACAGGAATGTCTGTTTCAACTCGAGAATGGATAATGGATTACACCTTTTTGGATCGTAAACTGCCCAGAATAATCCTGCCAGTGTAGCGATCAACGTTTCGCGATCAGGTTGTTGTAGGAGATCAGCGAAACATCCCAGTTGTTCCGCAGCAAAGTATACATCATGTAGCACCGCAGTTAGTTGGATCGGCTTGATAGAGGGAGCGCTATCAATCTGGCTGAGGCGATGACGCTCAAGTATAGTGCACACCGATTGGAATGGAATGTAACACGCTGTAATGACAATAAAATGTAAGAGTTCACGAATGCTTAAGCTTAATTTTCAATGGAATTTGCTGAACAAAATTAAAGAATTTCTAAATAGTTTTGAAACACCCGTTATTAATCCCATTATTCATTTTGCCTTGAGTACATTTTGAGACCCAGCTCTACAAGGAAATTATTCCGGATAATACACTTAACCAAAAGCTAATTCGCGGGCGGATTCCTCCAGTGGGAAATCGGAAAAGCAGCGCTTTCACCTCCAAAATTATGTACGTTAATTCCATCTAAATTGCAATAGCAGCAACATTACAATACTAAAACATCACTGAGAAGCTAATTTTTTCGAGCTAACCAGGTTTCCTATGAATACCTAGAATACTCAATAAAGCCACTGTATGCTGTCAAGGCAATGCTTGTCTACGTATATTTGAATAATTATTCACTTTACTCCAACCAATAAAAAAAAAAAAAAACAATCCTCCCAAGCAATACCATTATCCTAGTTTCAGTCATTTAGTTAGTTCTCTGAGCTGATCAAGCTGTTAAGAGCACAATAAGGAACAATAACTATAAGTATTCAGAAAAAAATCATCATCTTCTCTTTAAGCTGGGTTTAGACAAGGCAAGTAAATTGATCAACTCAGTTGAAACCATGCCATTCAACTGACTTGATCAACTCACTCGAATTGAAGAAAATTGAACCACCAACTCTTCAAGCCAATTGTATTCAACTGAGTTGATTAATTACTTGCCTTGTCTAAACCCAGCTTAACGTTTTACCATTCTTGCATTTACTCAAAGGCAAGGGATTGATTTTTGTAGGACACAACTGGATCGAGCAGACGCACCGCATCACTCGAAGGTTAAAGTTTGTCAGACGCAATTAGATGTAACATCTATTAAGAGATGCACATTAGGGTGTTTCATTTTGAAAAAAGTGATGAATTTTTGATAGGCCACCCTCCAGTTCGATTCATAGCCCCAAAATATGAACCTGTGCAAAAAATGGTAAAGATTGATGAAGGTTTAGAGGTCGCGCCAATGATTTGGATTTTGTATGGAGATTTTGGTGAATTAGTATGGGAAATTATTGATTTTCGTTTACATTGCTCTAACTTTGGTTGTAGTTGTCCAAACGTTGAAAAAAAAAAAATATGTGGTTGTCATGACAATGATCAACAAGCCTGTTGTTGTTGCGATGAAATTGGCGTTGTTGCCTTGTACATATTCATCTGTCAATTTACCCTATTTTGCCATTTTTTCACATTTTTATAATTCTTGATACGCTGCAAAACTGAGCGTAGCAACTGTAGGCTTTTTGTTTATTGCCATAGCAATAACATACTAAATTTTTTCGACATTTGGACAAGTAGAAGCAAAGTTATAGCGATATAAGCGATTTTTTAAATTCTTCCATAGTAATTCCCATACAAATTTCAAATCATTGGCGCGACCTCTAAACCTTCATCAATCTTTACCAATTTTTGCACAGGTTCATATTTTGGGGCTATGAATCGAACTGGAGGGTGGCCCATCAGAAATTCATCACTTTTTTCAGAATGAAGCACCCTAATGCACATACCTCATACCCATTAGCAACTTAAATTTTGCAACAACTAACAGCGTCTAGCGTCTACGCAAATGGATTTTTATTTCAGTTCAACTCAGGAATGTGACAACACCCAGTGGGAGCTAAATTTATAATAGGCTCAAAATCATCGAAAAACTCTTTTATTTGACTAACCTCTCCTCAACTTGCAACAATGCAACATCAAGCATTGAACAACCACAAGTTCACAGCTATATTTAAAATTTGAAATGAAAAACTATCTTCAAACGACACCGAGTAATTTAATTGTTTTAAACTAGCGAAGACATTCATACTTATTAATAAGTTTCTGTTATAGAGAAATATTTCCCTGATATTCCCATGTAAACTTCAAATGGTTTGTGCCAACCCTAATAAAAAAACATACTTGAACGATAACCGGAATGGTAGAACTATTCCACAAATGGTTTGGACGATACCCTGAACACGTCATTAAGCAAAATAACCATACAAATTCTATTGGGTCATTTTCCTGATAGGTGGAAGATACAGAAGCTAGTGTTCAAGAAGCTCTTGAAACCAGAAAAAACACCGGGGGATCCAGCATCGTATGTGCCTGCTGGATACACTCGAAAAACTCTTGGAGAGGATCATTCTAAACAGGCTGACGAAATACACGGAGAGTGAGCACGGATTGTCGGAGAGGCAGTTCGGAATCCGGAAAGGGAGATAAACGGTGGATGCAATTCGGACAGTGGTCGAGAGAGCTGAGAAGGCGTCCAAACAGAAGCGGAGAGGAGATCGATATTGCGCCGCGATAAGGATCGACGTCAAGAAAGCGTTCAACAGCGCCAGCTGGGAGGCCATCGCCAAAGCGCTGCATAGAATGAGAGTCCCTGACTACCTGTGCAGGATCCTGAGGAGTTATTTCCACAACCGGATTCTGGTCTACGAGACAGACATGGGACAGAGATCGATTAGGATCACAGCGGGAGTTCCACAAGGCTCCATCCTTGGTCCATCGCTCTGGAACAGGATGTACAACGGTGTGCTAACGCTGAAGCTGGCCAAAGGTGTGGAGATCGTTGGCTTTGCGGACGACGTCGTCTTGACGGTAACAGACGAGACGCTGGAAGAGGTGGAAGTGTTGTCAACCGAGGCGATCGACATGATTGGTAACTGGATGCAAGGAGCGAAGCTGCAGATAGCCCACCACAAAACGGAAGTGTTATTGGTCAGTCGGAGAGCACGCCATAGCCTCGAAGCGTATGTTGAAATACCTGGGAGTGATGATCGATGACCGGCTAAACTTCAACAGCCACGTCGAATATGCCTGTGAGAAGGCTTCAAAGGCCATCAACGCGATAGCTAGAATCATGCCGAACAACGCTGGTCCCAGCAGTAGCAAGAGGCGTCTTCTGGCCAGTGTGTCGTCATCAATATGGATATGGAGGTCCAGCCTGGGTTTCAGCGCTGGAAACGAAGCAGAACCAAATAAAATTGAGCAGCACGTTCCGGCTCATGACCATGCGAGTCGTGAGTGCGTACAGAACCATCTCGTCGAAAGCAGTATGCGTTATCGCCGGTATGATCCCTATCGGCATAACATTGGTGGACGACAGCGAGTGCTACAGGCGGAGAGAAGCCGGAAGAGTACGGAAAGTTGTGAGAGTGGAGTCATTGGCTAAGTGGCAACAGAAGTGGAACACGACGGAGCGTCACCCTTCTGTCCGGAGTGTGGCAACGTCGATGAAACGCCGGAGCATGTAGTCTTCGACTGTTCAATTTTCGAGGCAATGTGAAGGGAGATGCCCGTCCTTAACGTGGAGAATGTCGTTGAAATGTGTTGAGAGGAGGGCAGTCACGCAGATTATATCGGAGCTGCAGCGTAAATGGAGAGAAGAGCAGCGATCTAGCAACGCCAGCTAGCGCTGAGAGTACGACAAGTGCATGAGCACAGCCACCCCCCGAAGTAGTCACTTCACAGTGGACCCGGGGGGGATCCAGGCAGAGGAGAGAGTAGGCACATGAGACGCCGAAGGAACCCACAAGTCCACGTAAAGTCGAGAACCAGAAGGAGAGGAAGTAAAAACAGATGGAAGAGGAAGCTAGGAAGAAGGACGAGAAAAAGAAGAAGAAGAAGGAAGACAGGAAGAACAAGCAGAAGCCTAGGCCTCGTAGGGAGAGAAGCAAGGGTGACGCTCTGCTTGTTGAGGCGACGGACAATACGTCCTACGCAGCACTCCTCCGGAAAGTGAGAGAGGATTCGAAGTTGAAACAACTAGAGAACGTGGTGAAAACCAGGCGAACCCAAAAAGGCGAGATGCTATTTGAGCTGAGAAGGGATCCTACGGTTAAGAGCGTAGCTTTTAAGGAGCTCGTCGAAAAATCTCTTGGCGGAACGGCGAACGTAAGAGCCTTATCCCAGGAGTCAGTGGCCGAGTGCAGAGATCATGACGAGATCATTTATTTATTTATTTATTCGTCAATCAATCAAATCGTAGACTACATATGTATTAACATTAGGACTTATGTTCTATGACTTCGCAGAGTTCTGCAATATACTTTTAATTTTGTTGAGGGCATATTTAGGTCAATCATTTCACAATGATGATTATAAACAGTCATTATCTGGTTTACCGGTCCAAATTGAGCGTAATTGGCCCGATGGCGATCTACTGCGAACAAGTGTCAATTGCGTAATTTTCGGGAAGGTGCATACAAATTTAATCTTGACAATAGATCAGCTGAGTTGCGTTGCGAAATGATATTGTTTAATAAAGAAATCTTTCCGTAATCCCGACGTTCTTTCAATGTTTGAATGCTGATCAACAAGCAACGTGCTTCATATGACGGGAGAGGAAAAGCCGTCCAAGCTAACTTACGTAGTGCATATAATAAAAATTGCTTTTGGATTGACTCTATTCGTTCTTCATGCTTGTTCATATAAGGTGACCAAACAACGCTACAATATTCTAATATTGACCTCGAGGGGGACGACTCTATCTACGATGCAGAAAAGGTTGTGTTTTGCTGTGGCTAGCTGCACGCACGCTGAGTAGATAAAAGGAAGATTTATGTCGATTTTGAAGATTTCCTGCAAAAAGATGAAGCACGATGCAACTAGATGCGAGAAATGAAAGATGATTGATTCGCTAGTGTGAGATTTTTCGAGCATCTAGAATTGAGATTTAGATGTGTCGCCCCCCTTGGGAGCATCCCCCTTACGTTTTGCAAAGTAAAATTTTTGGACCGGGATTTGTCCAAAGTCCATTTTTACGTAAGTTTCATCATCCATCAAAATGTGAGTGAGCAGAATTTTTTCACGTCTGTCACGTTCCATCTTCGATAACTTTTAAACAAGTATATGATGAAATTGAAATTTTCACTACTGAATAAACAATCCTTCCAAATCGAAACGCTGTCAATAGTTTCTTGCTACGACAACTAGAGGCGCTACAGTAATTATAAAGAAGCGGCCAAATACTAACTGGAACAGACTTTAAAATGGTCCACAAATGTCAATTTAGAATCTAGAATAACACCAACAATCAATACGAAACTATCGATTTGAAATTGGCTCACTAGTTGACTAGCCTATTGGTCCCGAGATTGGTCCCAAGCAAATCGATTAACGTACTCCATTCTAGTCAACATTCTAGTACTGCACGATGTTTGTTTTGATTCGCTATGAAAGTTTGACAGATAAAATGTATAGTCGCTATATTCATAGTCTGGCGGATAGAATCTCGGGAACCAATTGAGCTGTGAAATAGCGGAACCAAGCGAGCAAATCACGACCAACAACAGAAAAGAGCACATCAGCTATTGCGAACAAAACTTCGGAAACCGTTTTCTCGTGATTCAAGGCTCGCCTACGCAAACTAACACTATCTTTGGGTTGGGGAAAGATTCCCCTATCCGATGATGCCGGTAATTTGCGTTCGATTGTCGAGGAAAGAATAATCAACTTTTGGTTTACAAAAGTTGATAGGACCTTTTCAGTTGTTGGTCTACAATATATTGAATCGGTTCCGCTTTTTGATGGATCGATATTCTATCCGCCAGACTATGAATATAGCGACCATAATAAAATGAGGGGTTAGTGGAATTTCCTATGTTTCTAGGGGTGAATCGATTAGCTTGGGACCGAAGATAGTACCAGAGCTGAGCCAAAAAGTAGAGCTCGTTTCTTCGGGACCTACTAGTCTTATACCCCGTTCACATTACAACCAATATCACGTAATATAGGCTGTCTTGCAATGAGCACTCATACATAGGATTTCCAGTGAAAACTAGATGTATGAGTGCTCACGTGATATACGCTGTAATGTGGACGGGGTATTCGAGTTACCTCTATAATAACACCTAAATCTCTTAAATTTTCACAATTTTGAACATTTTCATTACCTAATGTAATACGAAGATTTTGTTTGTTTAGTTTTCTACTGTACGTTAAAAGATTACATTTTTTAATATTTAGTTTCAATAAACTTTTACTACACCATCTGTAAAAAAAAACATGTATTTCATTCTGAAACATATTCATATCACAGATAAACAGACATAACACATTGAATATGTCTCACTGTAAAACATCGTCGCTAATACCACAGGTGGCGGTACTAGCAACTACGATACTTTTAAATTGACCGTTAAATGCTTGTTCGATGAACAACTTACGAGTGTTATACCACGTTCACATTACAGCGTATATCACGTGATATACACTGTCTTACAATGAGCACTCATACATCTAGTTTTCACTGGAAATCCTATATATGAGTGCTCATTGCAAGATAGCCTATATTACGTGATATAGGCTGTAATGTGAACGGGGTATAATGTCTGTGTTCATATCGTTATTGCTTCCTATTTTTAAAAATAGCTTCATGTCATCAGCGTATATAAGTACTCTGATATTTTTTTTAAATAAGAGAGACGTCATTAATGTACAAAATAAAATAAAATAATCACAACGGAAGACGAGTTGAAAAGTGCGCTGAAGGTGCAATGCAATTCGGTTGAGGAAAGCATATGGCGGCACGCAGAGGCCGTCGATACGACTTTCTTCGGACGCAGCTAACGAGCTGCTAAAGACAGGCCGAATCACATATTTCTAGTCTGTTGATGCAAACATAACAAATAAACAAATCAAGGTTGGGTGGTCAGTGTGCCCATTGAAAGCTATTCCTCGGGTGTCTAAGAAAATGGAGAGATGCTACAAATGCATGGGCTTCGGTCACCAGGCGAGAAACTGCAAAGGCCCTGACAGATCTGATCTGTGCAGGAAATGCGGAGAGAAGGGGCACGTTGCAAAAGACTGAAAAACGCAACCGTTGAAAAAGAATTAAAATACTATTGATGTTAGGCAAACACTTTTTAACGGATTCGACCATTTTAGACTGTATGGAACATCTTTTGTTCAAGCACCGTATCTCAAAACAACTAAAACCCTTTTTGGAAGGAAAGGGTCAACTACTAACTTTGATAATTCGCTAAGAACTTCTAATATGAATTCTATTGAATGCTCTGAAAAATTTGCATTGAACTAAAATAATTCCCCTTCTGAAAAACTTGATATTCTCTCATAAATTCCCTTGAAATTTAATATGTTAAGGTCCAGAAGTTCTCTATAGAATATTCCACTAAGTTTTAAAGTTAAGTAAGTGACGTTCAAAAATTACGTCCACATATTTTTTTTTAATTTTTATTAACATACCCCCCGTAGCGTCAGACATGTTCAGAATGTTTAAATATTTTAAGTAACCAAGTACATACTGTCACAATTTGTAGGACGCCATCCTTCTTCCATCTTTTCAAGAATGGATGTCGCTATTGAATGACCACTAAACTGTTAAATATAAATATTGACCTTGAACGAACATTCCTACGTGACTTTAAAAAAATATTGTAAACTAAACAACGAATAGTCAAATGGACATTCATTACATACAGTTCTAGGTGATAGGATGTGTTATTGAAGAATGGAAAGTACTTACTGTAAAGAGCCCGTTGAAGTGCGAACAATTTGCAAGCACATCTGTAGGTACTGTACTTGGATGCCGAGAACTTTTCATTGATCTTATTCACTACGTAAGTCAGGTTTGGATTATCCGGTTGAATTTGGCCATTGTAACGGTTAGCATACACCAAATATCCACGGTCGTCTTCTTGTTGGTCGTACATTTTCATTCACAATTTTCACCAGTAGAACTACAGTTGATGTTACCACTCCTACATCCGCACTTGATCGCCTCGTTTGCTGGCGTCTATCCGCAGCAGCAACAAAAATAATAATTAGTAACTACCGATCGCGCATCTCTCTGAAGAACAAGATTGGACAACAAGTGTCAGTTAAGATTTTTGTTTTCAAAACCGGTTTCTAGTGCAAGGCCTATCAAATGCGACAAGGTTAGCAGGAAAATGTTCGTTTGGAAAAAGAGAACATCCCCTGGATGTGAACCAGCAAACTAATGTTGACATTCCGCCAACATAAAATTTATTATTTTCTAGACAAAACAATTCGAAACGGTCAGAGTTGCCGGCGTGTAGATGCACATTGTTCGACATTATTTTCGGGTCTAAATTGGTATTTAATTAGTGATTCGATTTCCGTAATGGCTGCTTTGGACACATTCCCGAATCTCCCCCAGCCCGGAGAGATATCAATCTGCGAACGCAATGGTCGGATATGCACACTACCGATCAACGAAGTGGATGCATCCAGCTCTTGCAACGTAAGTACTATGTGTGACGTTACACAGCTTTGCCAGCTTCCTCCTTTATCTTGAGTGAATTAAATATTTATGTTTTTCTCCGTCCCAGCAACTGGCGGGATATCCCGAAATCAACATTGGACGTGAATTATTCCACCATGCTGCTGTCCACCTGCGCGAAAATCACCGCACTCTGATGGTACCGGTCAACGAAACCCTGATCAAACGTATTACTCGCACATTTTTCGAGGAAGGAGCCGTCGAAGCCCTTAACGAAGCAGCAAATATCGATAGCCATCAGTACAATCCGATAGTCGGTTCTCTGTCTCGTTACCTTTTGACGCTAATCGGGGTTGGAAACCGAGTGAAGTTCTTTTTCAAACCCCATCTGAAGGAGCAAGGCGTTCATTGCGTTGGAAAGTATACGCAAACCAAGGATTGGTCAAAAAGTGCGATCCGTTGCATTCGGTGGCATTCGAATTGTTTTAAAGTCGCCATCGCCGCATCGGACGACAGCATTCGGGTGTACAGCGATGAACCAACCATTGTTCCTGTTTTGAAAAGTGGTCTGCAGAAGTCGGTTACCTCATTGGCGTGGCGTCCTTTAACGGCAGGGGAACTAGCTGTGGGTTGCCAAAATGGCACTCTAGTGTGGAATGTTGATCCTAACAGTCTGATTACGAGACCGCTTTCGCAGGCTATACAGTTAAGATATGGAAACCATTTTCCTGTGACTTCGGTGGAGTGGAGCCCCAATGGATGCCTGTTGGCAACGGCCAGCATTAATGATTCCGATGTACTCATTTGGGACGTCGATCAAAATAGACAAGTAAGTTATACATCTGTTATCCAATAACATACACGAGATACATTGGATTTACGTGTTTCACAGGTTCCGCTGCGTCGAGTGGGCCCACCGTGTGCCTTGCTGAAGTGGTGTCCAACGGGATCTCGATTGTGTTCCACTACAGTGTCAAATGTATTCCGAGTTTGGCAAACCGACAAATGGACACCCGATCGTTGGACGGTCAATCATGGAACTATTCAGTCAGTGGTGTGGTCTCGAACTGGATCTCATCTATTGTTTGTTACGACCGATGATTGCTTTCTGTATAGTTTGGGATTTGTTGAAGATGAAGTGTTCACGTCTACCATGATGCCTAAATCGGCACTGCCTATTGCAGATCTATCGAAAATATCCATCGGTGAAGCGGAGGTTGGAGGTCACCCCCAAGCGCTTGCTTGGTGTCCGCAAAACCAATATCTGGCCGTAACTTTCAAAGAAACACCGGCAATTGCCATATTTAACACTGTAGTCCATCGCTGTCAGCTGAACATTACACCATTGTGCTTCATCACCGGCATCGGAATCGAGAGCGCATCCTGCATAAGCTTCCAGGAAAATCCAGGACGTCGATCTAGCGATAAAATGAAAACTGTTCTAACCATTGGGTGGTCCAGTGGAAGAATACAATATTTCCCGTTTGTTTAATGACTTTCTTTCCAAGTGATTTCACTGTATTGCATTTTGTTCAATAAATGGATTCTTTTTTAAAATATTGACCAGTATATGTCGAACATTATCACGGATTATCAAATAAAGCTGACTGCATTTTCTAAGCATGGATGTAAGATTCGGTTAAGCACGTTTTCACCGTATGGTATTTGAATAAATACAACAACTAAAGTACAAAGCTGGTCCAAACAGCAATCCGACGACGCTCAAAAAGGTCCATCGTTTAACATTCACCATATATGTAACCCAATCCTTCTGAAGCTTTTATCTTCACTCCTGCATCTTCGTCCTTTAGCAAGAGAGAGATTTTATGCCCCACAGAGTCCATCTGGTGTATCGATTTATGCTGCGTGTGTAGCAATCCTGAAAAAGACATTGCCGTTAAAATCGTTTCAGAAAGAAAATTTTTATGTGTAATTTGACCATAGGGCAATCGATAAATTGTGTCTATTTAATGTTGACAAACTTATGACATTGAAATCGACTCTATCCCGTTTGGCAGAATGGCCATTTTACGAAGGGACGTATCAGCTTTTGTAAACAATGCATTTGATCGTCGATTTGGCGCAATGCTAACACTACCATCATATAGGGGAACATTTCCCCTAACTTATAGTGGTATTAGTATGCGTGTGTGAGCTACCAGTTACGCCAAACCGACGATCAAATGCATTGTTTACAAAAGCTGATACGTCCCTTGGAAAAGGTAATCGAGATTGGACATAAAAGTATAAAAGTATCATGTTCAAAAGAAGGGAAAATACCTATAGTTGGGGATGCTGAATGTAAATATGAGACTAAAGTGAACATTTTATACGATAGATGAGGAGATGAACGTATAGAGTTGATAGTTCCGTTATAGTACGGCAGTGTGAAAATTGTATATAGAAAGTAGAAAGCGATCAAAGGATAATATTGAGGAAGGTACGAATCGGGTCGTACATCCCCTTTACCAAACTCATCCGTTGATGAGGAGTGGTGTTACCGCGGGGCAATTAATTCAGGATCAAATCTATAAGCCAACCCGCATAGTTGCATAAATCTTAGCTGATGTCGATACCAAGGCCAAGGAAGAGAAATGAAAAGTAGGGCAAAACAACGACAGCCTGATTACATAATCTGACTGCACTATTTACTTAGGATGCATATGCGCTCGAGTAGGATAAACACGCCCACATGCGACATATTTGCGTATGTAGATTAAGATTAGTTTTCCCTCTTTGTTCATCCTTTACGAACGATAATAATCTAATGTTTAAACGTTACAAATGTTCGAATTCTTATTTGTAGAACCATATTGGATCTGAGTTACAAAAAGTAATAAATTCATGATCATATTGAGAAATCCCGGCTCCGAAAAGGACATAGTATATAAGGACTCGAAAACATAGATTAGCCCTTTTTAGCCCTCGTAGAAATTCGATTATAACTAGCAGGAAATAGCTTAGAGTTCGATATTGATAGGGAAATTTTTACATTTTTTGAATTATTTTACATAATTATAGATCGCTAATGTAACACTTTGATTTAAGATCACTTTTTACAGAATGGAAAATAAAAACTAAGTTCGTAGGTTACTCCAGATTCTTCATTTTTTGAATCCGAAAGAACTTCGGCCTAGAAGTGAAAACTTCTCTCCTTAACCGGAGAAAAAAGTAGCTCCTAGAATCAAAAAACAGTGTCTGACCTAGTAAGCGAGAGACTCTCCCTAACCGGAAAAGAAAGTAGCTTTTGGCCGCGACAAGGGATGATCGTCGATTCATTCATGTACCGCCTGATATGCGGAAACAGTTCGGTTGTTTCACACTCAATTCGCCATATGAGGTAAGCATCTAGTCGATAGGTTTTGAAATTGCAGTTATTTATGCTTCTAACACTGTCTGTGCTCGGTCTGTCAACTTAACGATCTCAAGGAGACACGGACTATTAGATGCTAATATATTAGTATAGGTACCTACACTGAGGAAATATAACATAAAGATATAAAGAAATATGAAGATATGCTTATAAAATTTCGATAAAAGAAAAAAAATTGAATTTTTATAAGAAGTTCTTATGAAATGACATCATTGGCGTTGATGATCTTTTTCATAATATGGTCTTGAATTTTTCACAAGATAATCTTACCTCTATTCTATTTTATGTATTTCATAAAGACACTAAATAAATAATGAATTTAACCATCATAATATCGAACCTACAAAATGCGTGTCGATGTTGTGACACATGCACGACTGTCCCGTTGTCGAGAAGCGAGCATGTTCACAGCATCGACAAACATTTCGTTTGCTCGGTGTAATAAAAATGTTAATGTTATTTATTATTAAATTTCATATAAAAGACCTTTGGTTTGTTTTTTCCGTCGATCTTGTTTTCCGTGCTGAGCACCAATGCTACCGACGTGCCAAGGAAGGCAGCTCCCACACCTGGACCCTACCTATCGACCCATCAATTCATGAACCGGGGACCAACGGCTTTACTTCCCATCCGAAGGAAGGCGTGATCAGAGATGTTATGCCTCAGAACATCCCGGCGGCGCCGACTGGGATTGAACCCAGGCCTGCTGGGGTGAGAGGTAATCACGCTTACCACTACACCACCGGCGCCCATATAAAAGACAACATAATATTATATTTATCATTTAATTGCTAGATACAAACTTATTACTTATTTCGTGTACTCTGCATAACACTCAATTAATTTAATCTTTCTACAGCATCTGTGGCAAGATAATGCTCATCGAATGAACCTACTACAGTCGATACAATGACTCTTCTGTAGTATCGAGTCGATACATCGATTTCTAGAAAAGACTGCTCTTTACACTGTCAGCTGAATCCAACTCGGGGTCTGCAGCAGGGAATTCCTGTTTTATTTTAACGTTAAGATACGGAGTAAATTGCGGGGTGTATCGTCAATGAAAACCATTTATACGTTTTCCAGACCTTGCAGTGACAAAACTTCATTAATGTTGAAAAATATGCATTATTTATTCTAATACTTACTTACACGCCAATCTTTGACTAGCTTCCAAATATGATCGAAATTCGAATCCAACGACTGAGAACAAATCACTTTTTGTTGCATTTTTTCTTTTTTTTCACGAAGCACTTATGATTTTTTCACACTGATGTAACATACGGTATGAGGGGCTTATGAAATGGAATTGTGAAACATATGGAAAAGAATATTGTGTCGTATAAATTTCGCTAAGATCGTGTGAAATTCATAGGAATCGTATGAAAACATAAAAAAAAATAAAAACTGCTGTTTTTGCCTGAGTGTATAATACTAGGCTATGAGCAATAAATTTTAAAATTTACTAATTACCCGATTTCAGAAAATCTAACAAATATTACCTATCAAAATTGCTGCATTGCCTCGTATTTCAGGCCACTGACTGCGCAGGAACGGGAGACAAGCATCGATGAAATCGTGGACCGAATCCGGCAGCTCTTCGCCCTGAAAACAAGAAGAACATGTCAGTACGATTTTTCCCATTGTGCCACCATAAAAGTGAACATTACAATGTGCTTAACAAAATCCTTTATGAAGTTCCCATACTGCAACTGACCGTGCTCTAGTAGGTGATTCTGTGCCAATTGATTCATTTTAGTTGTTCCCAACAGCGAACACACATTCTTGAGCGTTATTTTGCAAGCCTAGAAGAAATGCTGAAATTATTTCCGTCTCCTATGAGTAAACATTAAGAACGGATGATCTCACCCTGGCGATAAGATTATTCTCTTCGCTCAAATGCAATAGAAGCGAGCACAAATTTGCTTTCAATTGTTCCATCAAAGATTCTGAAACTAGATTCTCTTCCGAATCGATGGACCCATTGGCTTGTTGCGGCTGTTGGTCTTGTTGTTGTTGCTGTGCTATGACTGCTTTTTGATGGCAAAGATCACCAAACAATAGTATTGCCGTTTCCCGCAATTCCGTTGAAGTGTTCTCGAAGAACGGTTTTATTCGAATTGCCAACGATATTTGAAACATTTGAAACTTGTCTTGCGGGAGGGATTGTAGAATTTTCGAAAGACCTCTCATGCTCTCCAGTGGAATATTAATGAAACAATTTTTGTTATAATCATCGATTCCCTTGAGCATAGCAGTGAGACACATTTCGGCATATTTGTCGATATCGTGGTCGGTCAGGTTGCACAAGTATGCCATACCTCGAATGCTAAGGCCTCGTACCAGTGGATTCGGGTCATTCAGAGATGAATTCAGATGGAGCATGATGACGGATGATATTTCTCCGCACGGCTTCAGGGGAACAAGGTGTGAGTAGAATCCAGTAGAAGCGATCCTTTGAGTGTCGTACGGACTGCTCACGTATTTACTCAACGTGGTAACGATTTGCTTCATCGTGGTTGAATTTATGCCAACCTCACTTGCCGTTGCCACGCTCAGTGGTGTAAGAATTTCTATGAAGCTATTCAGATCGGTGCAAGATGCTAGGTCCGGACATATGCAAAGTACGTTCGAGATTTGCTGCATGTCCAGCGTGTCCAGAAATGTTTTAAACGTATCCAATGCAACCTGACATGGATTCAGTCTGGAGTCCTTAGTGGTGGATTTTCCACGTTTGACACTTTTGGGAATGGTTACGTTGGTACCCTCCTGGGGGATCACATGGTTACAAGGGGGAAGCAAATTTATGTAGGTAGCTAACGTTGAGAGAAGCATGCAGAATATTTCCGTGAATCTTGTTTTCAGCTCGGCTTTGATGTCCTGACTTTTGAAAATCTCATTAAAAACACAAATGATCGAAAATGGCATTAGGGTGACAGCTTTCTGAGCATCGTCACGAGGTTTTTCCTGATGCTGTTGTTCGTACAGGCATGATGTGGTTACCGCACCAATGAAATTGTCCAATATTATACCAGTCAATTCCGAATCCAACGTAACGGTACGCCAGTAGTCGATAACGTTTCTGTAATTTGAACATTTCAGTTCGGTTTTAGAATGCTACTATTAATCGATAAACTTACTCTTCAAGTGGTAAACTCTGACCAAGAATTTCATTGCACACCAGCTTCGGATGATGTTTCGTAAGAGCCAACATCGATTTTAGAACGCCTGAACGTGCTCTCGAAACTTCACAAATCTTAACCGCCTGAAACGAGATAGGTGTTAAATTGTGTGTCATTCTAACGCTTACTTCTACAACGTACATAGAGGCACTCCTTCACGAGCTCCGGGATTGCATGAAACATCTCAGATCCTTTTACTTGCATGAAAAATTTCAACACGACCGAAGCTCCAATGGCAGAGCTATGCTCGGGATCTTTCAAACTGTACAGCAAGCATTTACTGAATTGCACATACTGATAGCTCGACAGCCTCAATGCGATTATGTTCGCCAACTGTCCAGCAATACGGTAGATATCTTTCGCATCATCCGTCACGATTTCATCCCTAATAAGGTCCAACTCCTTTACCCAATCCACACGATTATCGGCAATCGTCAGGGTTTCATAGATGCACGCAATTTCCAATATTTTTTTCAGTACATCAATAGCTGTCTGGCGGACGGTAGCATTCGAATCGATACAACGTGGGATTATTTTACCCAGCAGACTTCCTGTTTGGTTAAACTTGGATGGTGCTTCATACCCAATCTTCATTGCACGCATGTAAATTTCAAGCGTGTTGTTATACACGTGGCCGGCGCAAATACGAACTTCGTTATTGCGATCTTTGAGCCAAATCTCCAAAATCGAGTTGATGTCATCCAAACAAGCCGGTGAGCCATTCTGTTGCTCAAGGATTGATTTTATAAACTGATTCAATTCCGGCAGCGATAGATTAAGATACTTTGCCAGATAGCTGTTTCTGTTGTCTTCCTCGATGGAATCAAACTTACTTTTCAGATTTTGAGCCGTGGTGAAAAAATAGAAACAAGCGGTATTTAGCAATTCATTGACATCGACATTTTCATCTTCGCCATTCAGTTTGATCAGAGCAGTCGACAATTTGAGAATAAGCGGAAAGAGAGGGAGATATTCATTTTGTGAGTCACACGTAATATTCATGCAAATTTTGAGAAGATCTTTTTTGTTTTTAAAATTGTTCATATGATCCTCGGGTAGGGCATTTGGATTCGATAGCAGTATATCTGCAAGGCTCAGGAAGGTACTTAGGATTAGCTTTTTGATAAACAGTTCCTTGTTATCGAACTGAGCCGTCAGGTAATTGATAACAGTTTCGTCGAAAAGTCGAACCACTTTCTCTTGAGCAGCTTTCGTAACCACAAAGTTTAGTGCCTGCAGTACCAGCACCTTTATTTTGAAGTTTTCCTGTTCTTTACTCGTATCCTTGATAAAGTTCAAATTTGAGAAAAAGCTTCCAGATTTCTTTACAGTTCCGTCATCGATTACCAACGCGAGAAGCTTCTTCATCAGTTTATCACTGTGCTCAACCGATACGAAACCTAAGGCTTGGGCATGATCTTGAACTAGTTTTTCATATTCTTCATTGGGGGCGTTCTTCTCAAGCTTCTCCGCTTTAGCCAACCCTATGATCAAGTCGATTTTATTGGTTATCAGATGCTCATCTACCGAATGACAGAGGCACATTCCCAGAACTTTTACCAGCATTCGCTTCTCTTGGTCCAGGATGGGAATTTTGAACTCCAACTGTTGCTGACTTGAACCAGTGGAGATTGGTTGATACAAAGGCAGTTGATGAAATATTTCAGCAATGATGCCCTCGACAAACTTAAATTCGTCAACATCCTTAATAGTGGCTTGGAGAAAATCAAACAAAACCACATCGTATCGCTTCTGGTCCATACCATTCACGTTGCCCAACTCCTGAAGCATGCTTCCAATTCGTTCGTTCCATAGTGGTGACAAGTGTTTGTAGAGGTTCGTCGAGTAGCTTTTGAGGAAAGACAGAACATTCTGCACTCGAGCTGCTTCGGAGAAGTTACCCAGTAATGCTAGTGAACGCACAAATATTGATATGGGATTAGGTGGTCTAATGTCCTCGCTGGGTTCGCTTTCATCGAACGGATTACGCCGTTCCGGGACTCGACTTATTTCCGCATTTTTCGCCAGGAGATTTGCCAAGCATTTGGCAATCGTACTGCAAATGTCGGTAAATTCCAGTCTGAAATTGAGAGTAGCAATTAGCAGTATATGGAACCTATTCAAAATTTATGTAGCGTTCATATCATATTCACCTAAGATAACTTTGAAGGAGTTCCATTTTCAGCACATCGTCCATTGTGCCAATGGTGGAGGACAAAATGAACATTGTATCGTTACACGCTTTCACAAACTCCTGGTATTCATCGTTGCTACCATACTCGGTGTTGAACTTGTTCATTCGACAGCTGCCTCTTATCAAAAATGTCACAAACTCCTTTTCATGAACAAAACTACGTTGCATGAATGCAACAATCGTCTTCAAAAGTACCACCTTCAACTTAATCGATCGCTCGACCGTGAGCATTGTCTTCAGGATGGTGGTTATCTCATGCTGCTTTTCGTTGATGACACGCTCCGATGTATTGGTGAGATGGGTTAAAACGAGCAGAGACTTGATCCTCTCGCGTTCGTTGTTGCTGCGTAGATGTATAATCAGAATATCGATAATTTTATCGCCATAATCGTTAGCCATCAAATCAAAGCATCGCAAAACCTCATAGTGTCCCTTCACCGTTTGTGGTTTCTCGTAGTCTGGATTAACACACACCAAGTCGAAGAGGCAAGCTATGATATTGTCGGATAATCCCGACAGAAGCGTCGAATTGAGTGAAAGAACCGTTTTAATTATCGACGCTAGATACTGTGTTAAGACACTTCGATCTAAGCTGCGTCGATAGAGTGCCAATGTGCTTGGAATCACTTTCATCAATCCATCGTTGATCTTCTCAACCGACAACAAAGGATACATGAAAGACAATGCATTCAGGACTTCATACGACAATTTCGGTTCACGTGATGAAAGCCATTGGCTCTGGAACAAATCGTATGCTATCCCCACTTCGTCTGAGACGTCGTATGTGATGCCAGTTTTCATCGGAGTTTCCTCGTTCGGATGCAGACGCTGATGTTCCTTATACTCACAAAACGCTTCGCAGAACCGTCCGACAGCGAAAGCGTACGACTGTCTAATATAATCTTGCTTAATCGACGAAAGGGTCGGTAGAACGAAGCCCAAAATTGGCTTAATCAAAGGAATAGATTCCATTACGTTGGCCGTGGCTAGTGATCCCATCGAATAAAGTATCATAAAGTGCGCTACTTGGTGTTGATCTACGTGTTTAGACAATGCATCCATCACTTCTTTACAGTAGCGTCTTCCGACTGAAACCAAAATCTCTCGACATGGGTTTTGAACGTCCGCTTGCTGGTCCGGTGAACGTGTTATCTCATTTACGCTGTACTCGACGCACTTCGATGCTGTGTCATGGGTGATTTGGTCCATCAAATTCATTACGACATGTTCAATCACTCTGTCAACGAGTATGACCAAGAATGTAATATGCAGTCACACACACAAATGGTTATTATTTATCCATACCTTAATATGATGGAAGCCTGTGCATCACCAAGTTTTGGGTGTTTCTTGCGGTACTCGCAGAACACTTCTACGATTTCGTCATGTCGGCGCTTTGCAATTCTTATCAGCGATGCTTCAGTAGTGCTGCGCAGCTGCTCATCTTTTTCTCCAAGGCTGTCCAGTAGACTATTAACGATGGCTGCGGAAATCAACATTTTTTATATGTACACCTGTACTCAAGCTCAAGTTCTAAGCAAATGCAATTCCCTGCATTTGCATCTATCAACGCCACACTTGTAATTTGATATCCTTTTTTCTACTAAGGGGGACAACAAAATCAATACAATTGAAGCCTATACAGACCGCGATCAGTTTCAAAAACACTCCCTGTGCTACCAAGTCACAGAACGAACTGTGAAAAAGTGATTACTTACAGGCATGCACATAATCTCACAAAAAAAAATTAAAAATAAAAACACTTCGCTGATAAGAAATGGAAGACAATCTTTCGATTTTTCTACATAAGACAAAAAAAAAAAAATGTCACCATGATTACTCACAAGCAAAATGATGATCCTGTTTAATAAGCACAGTCGATTTCCTCTCGTCGCTGGACGTATCCATAATTCGATTATCTACAAAAACTGTAGCCCCTTGATGAAAGTTTCCAATGAGCAGGCAGATTCGTAGAATTCCACTTTTCTATCTACTTAAATCGAAAAAATCGCTATCTGGCGCAACGAACCGTCACATAAACAGTTTAGCTTGGTTTAGTTTCTTCGAAATATTCAATCGAACTTGTATGCTTTAAAATTTCACCAAACAACTAAAAAATACTAACATGTCTGAGGAAAAACTAATTTCGAATGAGTACCAATAATATTTACGATCGTATTTGAACTGTCACTTTGCACTCTTTTGTTTTCTTCCTTTTTGATCGATGAAAGTGACAAATAATCAGCTGATAAACACAAAAAAAAAATGAAAAAAACTTTGTTCATTCATGCAAGTTCATTCTACCAAGCGACGTCCGCCGGATCAAAACAAAACAGACGTACATTAATAACGGTACCTCGCGTACACTGAGGCAAAAGAACTTGAGAATTCCATAACGCATAACAGTTCCTTATGAACCCTGTTGATTTTGATTTCATCAACGTGACTTCCATAATAAAAAAAATACCATAAACGAACGATAATCCAAATAATAGAGCTATTTCACGAATGGTTTGGATGATACCCCGAACACTTCGTTAAGCAAAATAACCATAAAGTTTTTATTAGGGTATGATTTTCAGAAGTGTCAATGAAAAGTCATTATTTTGGGTTTTGAAGTCAGTTTGTCAAAAAGGCGAAACATGAAAACCTCGTGTTAAACAAACAAAGATTAGTAGCAGATGTTATTTCGAATGTGGGTGTGTGCATTGGACTGTTCATTTTTGTTCGCTGTTTGCGAATTATCTACTGAAAGTTCTACAGCAAAGCTCGAGAAAGGAGGATTACTTCGAGGATTACTACCACTCTGAAGCACTCTCGAGAGCATCGTACATCGAATAAAAAGCCGGTGGTTTTAGAGCCAAAAGTAGCAAAACATTTTCCATATATTTGACCAGGTTCTAAAAATCTTTTTCTTTACCCCTCCTAGGAAAGAGAAGAGTATTCGACATCAGCGAACAGCGAATCACCTCCCCTTCTGTCACCAAACCACCTCCGAGCTCTTTTAGTAAAAATAGATTATGGAAAACATCGACAACGCACAAGCTCTCTAACGCGGGTCAAAAGCTTAGTAGTTGTCGACACGGTTGCCCGATTCCATTTATCTTTGGGAAGAAAAATCACTGCAGAGTCAATAAACGACCTCCGTAAAGTCATTATTCTCGTTTTTCCCAAAGAATTAAAGGTAAAACTTAGTGAGAATATGATACGATTAAATGATAATTTTTTTCAGTAAATAGTGATTTTATTTTTAGTTAATTCTTCCGTTTATTATTGACAGGGGTATAAAATAAGTCTTTTAGTACTTAATTTTTTTTTGTTTCAAGCTGGAGCTGCGTGACAGCTTAGTTTTCAAGACTTGACCCATTTGAATAAATTTTGCTTCTATCTTTGACAATACAGCAGAAGGACTAGCCTATGTTGGCAGCTTGAACACTGGATTCCGTGTGTATTGTTTCAAGATAATTATGGATAAAATGCTGTGACGTGTGCGCGTAGATACATCCGCGTAGTAAACCGATTGAATAAGTAAATCCGTTTCGAACGAAATATCAAAATTATGTAAGTTACCAAAACCGCACGAATTTCGAGAGCCGTGCGAGACAACCGAAGCGAGAAAAAAGGCTTATTATCTTTTAAAGAATGCCACTAAAATAAATGTTATAGCCTATGTTGGAAAGTTGATTAATTTTGGTTTCCTCCCTAGATATTCTATTTATTTACTACTGAGCTTTGTATCAAATTAGTTTATTTAAAGAACGTAACAATCATTTCAAGATTTCAATGGTGTTTAACATTGTTCCCTGAGTAATACCAACCGGTGGAAACTAACGATTTTAAATTGGCTCACTACTTGACTAGCCTATTGGTCCCAAGCAAATCGATTAACGTACCCCATTCTAGTCAAAATTCTAGTACTACACTATGTTTGTTTTGATTCGCTATGAAAGTTTGACAGATAAAGTTAGGGGTTCGTGGATTTTCCTATGTCTCGAGGGGTGCATCGATTAGCTTGGGACCGAAGATAGTACCAGAGCTGAGCCAAAAAGTTGAGCACGTTTCTTCGTCACCTACTAGTCTTAGAGTTACCTCTATGGTAATACCAACAATCAATACGAAACTAACGATTTTAAATTGGCTCACTACTTGACTAGCCTATTGGTCCCAAGCAAACGATTAACGTATCCCATTCTAGTCGAATTTCTACTACTACGCAATGTTTGTTTTGATTCGCTATGAAAGTTTGACAGATAAAATGAGGGGTTATTGGTTTTTCCTATGTTTCGAGGGGTGAATCGATTAGCTTGGGACCGAAGAGAGTACCAGAGCTGAGCCAAAAAGTTGAGCACGTTATTTCGGGACCTTCTAGTCTTAGAGTTACCTCTATGGTAATACCAACAATCAATACGAAACTAACGATTTTAAATTGCTTCACTACTTGACTAGCCTATTGGTCCCAAGCAAACGATTAACGTATCCCATTCTAGTCAAAATTCTAGTACTACACAATGTTTGTTTTGATTCGCTATGAAAGTTTGACAGATAAAATGAGGGGTTAGTGGATTTTTCTATGTTTCGAGGGGTGAATCGATTAGCTTGGGACCGAAGATAGTACCAGAGGTGAGCCAAAAAGTTGAGCACGTTTCTTCGGGACCTACTAGTCTTAGAGTTACCTCTATGCTATTATATAGTTGCTCTTTGTTCGTTGCTAGCAGTTCGTTGCCTTTTGTTGCTACGGTGCAAGATGTGTGAAGTAAAAAACACCATCAAGTTTAGCTTCAGCCACCATGATGCTAAACCAAACATCGGAGAGATTGTAAATTTCGCCAAAGCACTCGACGCGGATTCGGCTGAAATGGAAGCAGTTATTATTGCTTGGGACCAATAGCATAGAGGTAACTCTAAGACTAGTAGGTCCCGAAGAAAATCATTATTATTTTTGGCTCACTCAGTACCAGAACAACGGTCCCAAGCAGTCCCAAGCTATTTCACTCACCCCTGCATGTTCTGCATGAATCCACACACCCCTGATGTTATCTGTCAAACTTTCATAGCGAATCAAAACAAACATAGTGTAGTAATAGAATTTCAACTAGAATAGGGTACGTTAATCGTTTGCTTGGGACCAATAGGCTACTAAAGTGGTGAGCCAATTTAAAATCGTTAGTTTCATATTGATTGTTGCCAATAGGCTACTAAAGTGGTGAGCCAATTTAAAATCGTTAGTTTCGTATTGATTGTTGGTAATACCGTGCCTTTACTGACTACGCTATGAGGCCCATTAAAGCTACTTGTACCAACAATCAATACGAAACTAACGATTTTAAATTGGCTCACCACTTTAGTAGCCTATTGGTCCCAAGCAAACGATTAACGTACCCTATTCTAGTTGAAATTCTATTACTACACTATGTTTGTTTTGATTCGCTATGAAAGTTTGACAGATAACATCAGGGGTGTGTGGATTCATGCAGAACATGCAGGGGTGAGTGAAATAGCTTGGGACTGCTTGGGACCGTTGTTTTGGTACTGAGTGAGCCAAAAATAATAATGATTTTCTTCGGGACCCAGTAGTCTTAGAGTTACCTCTATGCTTGTACGCTTGTACCAAGGAATTCTTAAAAATATATTCACTCTACCGATTAAATTCATCTAAATCAGTTAGAAATGTTGATGTCAAAACTGCATAAGAATTATTCTCATGAGTGTTTGATCATTGGAAAATGACAGAAAGCTAATGATCGGTCGTTTCGTCTCGTGATAGTGAGAGGACCTGCTTTCTCATTGTCACATGACGGCCGTGATATTTACCAGCTCTGGTCGTACCTATTTCCGGAACTTACCTGATGCTGGATATAGCTCGGGATCAGATCGAATCTGAAGGTTTCTGATTAGCACGCACGACCGATATATTTGCCGGAACACGGACAATTTGATCGGAACGTCAGATACGAACGATGGGAACACGGATGCACGGATGAAAGCAGCAACACGGCCACTCAGTGAAAACAAGCCTAGAGGGAAAACTAGGTCACTGGTTTGTCATTCTAAGTTTCTAACTCCGGAACTTACCTGACGCTGGATCAGATAGGAACAGAACATTCCTCAAGGGGACGGACACGGACAATTTCAAAGAAATTAATATCGTGTTGATTTTTTAAATCAGCATTGAATTTGATATTTCCTTAAGAGCGTCAAATATGGTGCCTTACGGTAGTTCGTTTTATACGACATGTAATTCCTTCGTAGGAGGATGTACCTGAAATCAGGCACTGATGGCTACTTCTTACAGTAGCTTATCACTCTGATAAGGTAAACAGTAAATAGAGGGTATTGTAGTATCGATCAATAAGTGGTCGGAGTAGTTACGAGCCCAACAAAAAATTAAATAAAAATTAAAATCATCTCAAAATGAGCATTTTATTCTGCCAGTACGGTACTTAGTAAAACATAAATGGGTGTGTTATTATTGCCGTGAATGAAAAGATTTACTATCACTGATTATATATCTATTTTTAATGTTGTGATAGTGGAAAAAGTAGCATTATCACTGCCTCCGTGAATCAATGATATTTATCAGCACTTATCAACAATAGTAATACGTAATGTTCCATAGTACACATGAAACCGCGTGATACTAATTGTCGAATACTACTTTATTACCTAGTTGTTGCTTCTTTTCAATAGCTACGCTCGAACTAATATTTTACTTGTGTTTTTTGCGTTCAGCTATGTACATACATACTGCCCTGCTATGTGGAAGCACCGGCTATCGGGATGCCCTCAGTTTCCATATAAGCTGTTGCTATAGCTACTTACTAATGCTTCATTCATAAAAGTGAAAGAGATAGAGAAAAATAACTGGTTTGATTGGCATCAAACAGCTGATAAATAAAAGCCTTGGCCGGGAGAATCGCAATTTCAGTCTTGATAAAGAGCAGTTTGCGAAAATGACCACGTCTGATTACACCAGCGACATATTGCGCCCATTATCTCGCCAGGAGTTAAGTGATTTGAAGGATCTGTATTATAAGCATTGCCCACTGGAAATACAGTTCTATTTTTTAATTAAAAACCAGCTCGAATGGGACGAAAAATTAGAAAAGTTAAACAGAAAGCAGTCAATA